GGACGATGCACTTAATCGGGAGCTGGGAAGGAAGACTGCTGCAGCACGCATGCCATTCCCTACACCCTTGTTGCCATTTGTCTGGATGGAAACATCAATTTCATAATCCTTGGGTAACATCCTCTGTAATTTGGCGATCTGCACAGTCTCGAGATGGATTGGGCTACGTTTTCCAGGGACTGTGTCTCAGAATGTAGCGTCACTGTTCCTGGTCATCAGTGGTTGCTTCCGTCTCAGCATAACCTCCAGCCTCAGGAACACTGTGTACAAGGATGGTCCTGGCTACGGATTCCTACCGATATTCTTCCAAGTTGTGTTTCGCCTGTTTGCGATCGTTCTACGGAATACCCGTAAAGATGTGTATGGAACATGATACATTCCGGAGGCCAACCGTCGATAACAGGACGGCTTCTGCTTCATCGGCGGAATTAAATGCAACTCGGAGAAGTCTCGGATCGCCGCAGTGCTATGATTTCGGGGGACGGGTGACCCACGGGTCACCTATATTGTCAGATATGAAAATCCACTTTTAAGGAATTTGACGTCGATGCTGGAACGCTGGTGCAGAGTACCGATGGCACACTATATGCAGCCCGGATTGAGGTTAACCGCCCAAGTGGTCTGCATACAACCGGTGGAAACTGTGTAAGTATAGGTAAGACCCAGTGGGAGTAACTGAAGGTCTAGGTGTTCGAGCGCTTATGGCAGCAACCAAGTTCCAACAATCAGTAGTGCCGTAGACACTTCTGAAATTTCTGAACAGTTTGGACGATGAACCGAGCCCTAGCCGTACTTATTCCAGTCGCACTGGCGGTGATTGGTTCAAAATTATTAGGGCAACTGGTGGTATTGACGTTTAAAAGCAGAGGTGTCGCATTTATAGCGCGCTACCCAGTGTTACTCTTCAGCTTTGAAGCGGAGCCTAATGGGATGGACTGACGTTTGCTCTTTGTCACACCTTCTACGTTTGTTCAAACATTGCCCACCAGTCTTTCAGGTTTCTGCGATAGTCCATGTATAATCTCTACCAATAGAATGACCATAAATACTGCACAGAATGACCGAAAATTTGGTTTACTATTGTGTATCATCAAATGCTTTAATGTGAGTCTAGAGCACTTAGAATGAAACTTGCTGAGACCATTGGAATGCTGGATTCCTGTTCGTACATTTTCGGCACAAAGGAAAGCCACATAATACCGTTAATCTGGGCACGGTAAAATCGACAGTTTTTGTTTGGTCTTTATGAACCATTGCATCAATCGATACCTTTCCGGTCAATGGTCGAGCGCTTCTGATTGCCTGCGTGTCACTTCCGCGCTGAATCGGCCGGATTTTTAAGATCGACTCGTTCGGTGCGTCCAGGACTGCCATGGTGATTTTAAGCGGCTAGACCGTTCGTTCGGTAAACAAAGCACCTGAGCGATAGGGACACTAAGTGTCCGGTATCTAGTTCGTTTAGAGGTCGACAACTGCAGTTGATGGCTAACCGTATGGATCCCGTAGTTGGCCTTCGTTTGAGATCACAAATGTTCCTGTGCGGTTCGGAAGATTTCGCACTTGTGTTTCTGCGGGGACGGTGCGAAAACTGCGATATAGAAATAAAGGTGATCCGCACAAGCTAGATCAGAAAGATGGAATGCGCTGAATAGCGCTATGGAAACTGGATGAAATGAGTGTAAGCTCAGGAGTGTGTGGTGAGAAGTGCGACAGCAAATTCCATTTGAGTACGAGGCATGAGAGTTTACGTCCGCACAGTGTGACATTCATCGAATGAATGGAACTAACTGTTTTAAACAACAAATTATCAAATAAATTACATTCCCCAGAGATTGCCTTAAAACAGCGAGGTAAAAACAATTCCGAGATAGGCAAAGGTAGCGTTCCACCAGTCCGTACCGCGAAAATAATGGAGATGGAAAATATAATTCCGTTAACACAATGGTTTGACGTCCCGTTTACAACGATAAACAATTATATTATGGTACTTTACTGAATATATACCTTTACAGTTGCTCAGTACGCATTTTAATAAGAGAATACAATTTGGCGTGAGAACGCAAATAAGTGTTTCGTTGCGATGGATGAAAATTAGTAAAATCGGAATTTTTTGATGAATGAACGGCTGCCAAATTGAAAGATGTGGCCGTATGTAGTTACAAACCACTTAATACACTTACGTGCTCCGCTCCACAACCAGCATTTAAAATAACGATGGAAAACAGACATTTGTCGTTGATATACGAAATGCATGAAATCGTTCATTAAAACAAAAATAAAGTGTTCTCGGTAACGCAAAGTAAATTTAATGCATTAAGCTGTTGCTCAGATTCTAAATGTCAGTTAAATGCGTTTTCATATCAATAATTTTATAAATAGCTCTTATATCAATTTATAATACAGACGAGTGGAACAATACCATAAGCAAAGTAAACAGAGACAAGTCATGATACCGCAAACAAGGGTTTAACAAATTCAGTGTCAGTGACACAGGCCAATTGGATGGAGAGGCGCGGAATGGCCAATCAATCTGGGCCACGACATAGGAGGGTACAGGAAACCCCGGCAACGGTACGCGCGCTGTCTGAGTGACCAATCAAAAGGTGCTGGATAAACAGACGATGGTTAGCGGTTGTGAGAAAGGGACACGGTACGGTGGACGACAAATGTGCTGAGATTTGGCCAACGCTAACAAATGGCAGAGTTGTTGAGCCATGTGGACAGAGAGGTCGAGCAGGCGACAGTGAAGAGGCCTGCCAAATCAATAAGTTCGCGTGGTTGTTGGGGTAACTCAGCAGGCAAAAAAAGCCAAGGCGAGCCGACCGATTGTTTTATCTGATACAATCTGTTCTCCAAGCAAGGGCATGCTCCCCATGGTAATCGGACCACTGCATTGTAGGTGCCCTTATCCATACAGTAAGTTCAACTACGTTATGCTGTCAAAATTGTCAAACAGCCGAATTATCCCAGGGAAAAAATTGCAAGCCATAGATGCACTACTGAATTGATCCTGTAATTTCTAAAAATAAAGGCTTGCCGGCTCAATGCGAACAACTCACAAGCTGTAGCTATGAGGTAGTTCTTGTGCACCCCCAACCAACTGCGGTATTTTTCAGTAGACTATCTTATCCCGCGTTACAGTTTCACTCCACGTCGAAACCCTTTCCATACAATCTAATTTCACCGGATGACGTTCCATGATGCGTGGGTCTAACCACTACCAATTTTGGAAAGCGAATAAAGGTTAGACACAGCCGTGGACTGGCCGATCTCTTTCACCAAATCCTTCCAAGTGTCGTAACGCTTTTATGCTCCATTCCTATAGGATGTGATCCCTGAAAGTAGCCCCTTCCTTCGGTTGTGAATGACCAAATGATATATTCTTGAGACTTGGGTAAGTCTACGCTCTCAAGCTGAAAGTGTTCACACTTAGTGCATCAATCATGAGGTTTGTAAATGGATGTATTCCCCCTTATTGTTCATACTGTTCACCTGTTGTTTCCCTCTGAGTTCTTCAAAAGCCTTAAACTATTGCATTCACTAAGATTTTTCCCCGATACCATGGAGACAGTAAGTAAAGTCTTCGTAAATTCTATTGTTAGCAAACTTTCGATGCATGTACCAATCTTGCATCCAAGAATCTAACGACCTGCTCTGGCCATCATGGTGTTCACTACTTCAACGCGGTCCTAAGTTAATACTATTTCTCATACATAGTCGTAAGGTAATTTCATAATGCCATATCTATCAAGCTCACTAGTCAACCCAAAAGGAATGAAGGACAAGTGGCGTGACCGTCTACTCAACTGAAGATGCAAGTTTACTCTGTTTTCCTTGTTAATCTGTACTATTTGCTATGATTCCATGTTGTATCGTACGCACAGCGATAAAGTGCAGGAATTGTATCAATATGGGTACATAAAGCTTACTCTGACTTGGCTTAAGTTATGTGCTCTCAGGTTTTGTAACAAGTGAAAATGTCTGGGAAAGGCTAGATAGAGGGCAAAGAAGCGATAGTTGAATGCTTCTGCAGAGTTACCTGCTTGCACAAGACTTCAGTTCGTTTCATTCCGAGTGAATTGTCCTCTTCACGAATGAGGTTGCTGCTAGAATCGTCCCTTCCACTGGCGCCGGCGGCCTCGTAAAAAGAAGGCCAACCGCAACCACTGTCGTACTTGGTAGAAGAACTAAACAAGAGAAAGCAAATCAAAAAGAATTTATCGGTCGTACCATAGTAAAAACTAAAATCACATAGCTGTGAAAAAAACGAAGCCAAGGCTGGAGCGATTGTTCTTATCTTACCTGCAGGGTTACACACTGCAGATTATGAAAGGTCGTTAGGAGCGAAGAAAATTGGTTCCCCTTTCCCATCGAAAAGAGGATGCACCTTGTCGTGATGCGACGGTTTGCGCGCTTTATCACTCGATTGAGCAGTGCTGGGTGTTGCTACAATTACCTTCAATCGGTCAGTGGTTAGCAGCCAGACAAGCTCAATCTCCTGATCGACTGAGGGTTAGAGTGAGAGTGGCCCCCCGATTCCACTACAATTTCCGATGCCTTGTGGTCAGAATTTTGTGTCAAAGACTTTGATTGAAAAGTCAAATCGTTTCCATGTCTAGATCTGACAGTACTCTGCTCCATAAATATAATGAAACCATCCTCGAACCACTTCTCGATGCTTTTGTCGTCGCAGAGGATTGTTAACAGTGACCTATCTGCTGCACTGAGTGGGGTAGATAGGAGCGCGGATGCTACTGCTCAAGACTCCACGGTTCATTCTGCGTTACGCTGGTTTATCTTTACCATCGCATTCTAAATTCACTTTTAGCCCCCGTTTTCAACCCCTAATTCTTGGCTATCACTCACCCTACCTCGACATTCGTTTGTCCTCAGGTCTTGGCTCGCACTGAATCACATAGCGTCGCTCCGATCCAGCTAAGCGGCAACCTCAGTTCATCCGCTTCTTTTTGGTGCTCCTAATACTCACTGAGCCTGGAGTGCCTCAAGGTGCGCACTTTGTTGCAGACGGATCAACAGGCAGCAATTGCCCAAACACTAGAGGTCCTCTCGGTTGGTTTTTGCTGCTTATCGGTTGTCTGCATAGAAGGCTCAAGCTTTCTATTCAGTCTATGATCGCCTTCATATGACACTGCTACCATTTTCTCATTGCGTCTGTGCTAACATGATGCAGCTTCGAATGTCGGTCAAACCAGTGCGCGCATTGCCCTGAGCCCGCGCGTTAAGGTTGCACTGGTCAACTGGATCTAAATCAATAGACCGACTTGGGCCGTAAGATTGGCTGGCTCATTAAAACGTCTCGAAGCCGCACCGAGCTGTTTGTAGCTGCTGTCTACGCTCCCACAAACTGCAGCGCTGATTCAGTAAAAGATCATTTATAGCATCAACCGAACGAGCCCCAACGTTACAGAAGAAGCACGGATACTGCGGAAGATTGTTGGAGCACCGCCACGACAAATGGAGACCTACGGTACTCGTGTTCCTAAACATCAAAGGTACCATCGGATCAATGTACTCTTTGAGAATAACTGTTTAAGAAAGGAGCACCGAAAAAAGATGTAAATGTTAAAATAACGCTTTATACACGTAATTAAGACAGAATGAGGGCTTATGGCAAGCTACCGCCGCCCTTCGGTAACTTAAGTGGTGTGAGACAGGGATGTACATTACGTTCTTTTTTAATTTGTCATTGAAGAAATTATGGAAACCGCGTTTACCGGATAAGATTTGGAAGTAGTGAAATTGCTTCCATACGACGGAATTCTTGACTTAGAGTATGCCGATGATGGTTGGGCTGTGTTACGCATGCCGGCGTATCGAATCCCGCGAACTGCGTCGTCTGCGAGTCAGGAGTATGGATAGAAGAGGAGGAGACGTGATGACGAGGAATGAAAGCTGTTTCGAGCTTGATCTCGTTTGACGCATTACGGCTCCGGGGTTGCAGTCCGAAAGACGATGAACACGTTGAAGTAAACAAACATTTGGAAGGACAAAGGTCCGACCTCAGCGTCGTTCTTGAGGCGAGTTCCTTTGTACTTCGCCCTCCCGCTTAGCTCCCCCTACAACATCAATCGTAGCCTAGAAGCAGAATATAATTTTTTGCGTTTGTTCCTGTTTTCTTGTTTATTCTACTACCACTTAAATGGTTTGAACTGCGGCACGGTAACATGAATGTTCCTCACCCGAAGGTAACTTGTACAGTGATGATGTAAGACATTGCATCTTGGACTATGCGGATCTCCCCCTATGTGAGCCAGTTGTGCTGCGCCAGCTGTGATGGTTTGGCTACGCCCTGCGCAAGCCCATCGAGTGTTATTATGCCGCGTGCCGTTGTTAGAAGAGTGATAGTAGTTCAGTTATAGATATGCAAACGTTCAAAATTGCAGACTTCGTTTTGTAGTCATTTACTGACGGTTGTTCTAACGCACCATTAGGTCAGCCCCATTGGTCCTTAACGGTTAGTTTTTCTGGCTGCGAATCAAAGTTCCAATCTGGTACCGACACTATCAATTTTCTTTCGTTGCGTACATCTGGTCTGTTCCTTTTTAGTCCGGTCATTAGTTGTTTGGTCAGACCGAACACCTCCCAGTGCTCTGAGTGGTTTTCCCCGCCATACGTCAGGTGACATAAATCGTGATGTTTTTCAACGAATAAAGTCCTGAACTCTACTCTGGCTGATTCGTATTCTCACTGCAATTAGTGAGTGAAAGCAGACGGGGGGGTCGAACTAGTAGCTATTTGCGCACGAGTAGCTGCAATGAAAGGGACAGCATGGAGGCCAATCAACCATTTGTTAACAAGGCATGAAGTCAATGACATTTTGCCTAGCCATCGCTGACCGTGTACTCCTTTTTGGTTGGGGACAAAAATATTACGAATTTTAAGCAATAAGTTACGGCGCTCAAAGCAGTGGAAAGAATTTGCGAAGATTTGCACACATACCAAAAGCTCTTAAAATGACCAAAAGGTTCAAAACAGCGAGTAGAAGACAAAATACTGATACTCCGTTTCTCGTCGTTATCGACAGTTTTCTACACGCATTGTACATATCACTGTTTTAATTCTCAATTCCATGGTTTTGAATGACTGTATGTCCTATCCATAGACTTATATTAATATATACCAGCTTCTTTTCTTTATTATGAACCGTGCGATGTTGTGTGTGAGTCGAATGGAACGAAAATATCATCTTCGGTCTACATGTTAGCCAGGTGCGAGAAACACCACAGCTACTGTGCCGCAATACAATTCAATTACACGACAGAAAAAACGTGATTGTGGTGGAAAATAACAGATAACAAAGCAAATAGAAACATTATCATGTCATGTTTTAAGGTACCCATCGACGACAAGACCGTGGTTAGGGGAGTAGGGTAAAAAACAAGACTGCAACAAGAACGCCGCTGAGGTCAGCTCTGCGTTGTGCCGATAGGTGAATCCAATCGAAGGTGTTCAACATCGGCTGGATGCCTTGGAATCCGGAGGTCACCGGCTCGAAAAGGCGGAGGTGCGAGCGACCTCGCGGCATAGTCAGCTCACGCACAACTGTTTGTGGCCAAGTGGCAGCGAAGCGTCGGTACGGTGTGCCAGCCTACTGGTGATGCCTTTACATACTCATCGTCTGATTTTCATGTGCTCGCCGAGCTAGGAAATCTGGTTGTAGACGTTTCACTATCACTATCACCACTATCATCACTGCGTTAATGTGTCGAGTGCAGCCGCGCTGATGTGGTCGCCGACATGTGATGGACGAGAGAATGACTTTAGAATTGACCTACTCGATTTGTATCCCATGACCCTCACTCGTTTGCCTGAGGGTTTCTGATAGAATTAACCTATCCGATTGTTCTGTCGAAGGTTTGTTTGGCTAGTAACGATGGTTTTCAACTCGTTTAAGTTCGCTCTAGCTGATCGTCCGGTAAACTGAATCGATGTCAATATCAATAATTAGCAAGCATTCCGTACTCTTCTTGCTAAGACACCTGTTTTGTTTCAAACGAAACGATGTCCTTCTTGGTATGTATGTGATAAAATCAGGGTGTCTAGTAGTTATTACAGGCCGTTTCATGCTCTCGTATCCTTTTTGACTTTCCTTCCTCCATAACTCGCACAGTTCTTATCGCAATCTCGATACTATATTGTATAAATTCATCACGTCTAGGCTCAACAGACAGCCACTGTACCCAAAGAAAAGTAGTGTACGGCAGTTTTGCCCTTCCGGGAATTGTCAGCAGCGCGCATTCCACCTGACTCCCTGGAGTTCCCGGTTTAGCTTTGGGTTATGACAGGGTTCTCCTCAGAGTGACAGTTAGTTGGTGAGCTATTACGAAACCATGCTGTCGCAACAATCTTGCTGTCAGCTCGGAGATGTCCACTCATAAGTTAGAACGATTTGCATTGTTAACCTATGAGCAAGCTGACTGGTTGTAGCTTTATTGCATAGACACTGTCGGACAAAGCTGTGCGGATACCCGTTCAGCAGAAATGATATGAACAGATATATCTCTTCTTTCCGCTTTGCTTCCAGTGTTAAAATGTGCTTTAATTATGTGGAAAAGAATCCGCATACAGCTTATTTCTTACAATTTAGTTGGTTGCTGTGGTAGTTCAGGATATGGTCGGTGTAGATTGATATGTGTAACTCCGGCAGCAGTAATAACATGTCCAAGAGAAAAAGCTTGTTTTCCATTTCCGACTACACGTGTAATGAATGTAATCCATGGCGTTGTTGAGCAACAGATATGCGATCACGACATGGTTGCGTTGCATTATCACTAATGCAGCATGGAGATATCGGATCCATAAATTTGGGTTCGGTATAGGCAACAGATTCTCTTTCAATTTATGTATTACTATCATCATCATCATCGTCGTCGTCATCTTCATCATCATCATCGTCATCATCATCATCATCGTCATCATCATCAATACACGTTAGCCGAGGGTGAGAAACACCACAGCCGTGTGGCAATACAAAAAGGGTAACGGATTAAAAATAACATTATGAAAGTAAAAAGTAACATATTGCTATAATCACATTGTGCAATGGATTGAGATTGTTGTTGGAGTGGGAAGCTTAAGGGGTGCGGAGGGATGAAGAGACTCACAACACAAACGCCACTGAGGTCGGCTTCTCGCCATGTCAGCTAGTGTATCCAACCAAACATGT